GAAAACGTCATCTCGACACATATCATTGTGTAAAAATTCTACTACCATTCCTTCATCACCTTAAATGAAATAGGTTGAATACATCTCATATTGGCTCTTACAGTCGGCAAGCTCCTTCGTCCGTACCTTATCCTGCCTCCAACACTGACCGAAGAGACATTCTGCAGCTGGATGCTCGGACTGGCAAGGCTCAATGTCGACACCGACTACGACGCCGATCAAACGTCTGATAATCTACCAAGTACGAGGCTGGAAGTTGGCATCACTCCGGCGGCAGAGGACTCCGGACTGGTCGCCTTGACAGCATAATCAAATTGTGAGAAAGGGGTCAAACCAATGTTATCCAGCTAAAGCTCTTTGTATCTGTGGTCACCTCGATGCTTTCCAACGCTGCACCTCGACAGTACAGCATTTTTGCTTCACTCAACGTCTGTGCCCACCACCGAGGTCAACTTCTTCTCGGCAACCTCGAGCCGGCTTCACTTACTCATCACTAATAGATGCGAACCAGTCCACTTGTACCCCATCACGGGTCCATCAAGCATTCAGAACACCCACTTTATTTACTTTAAGTTCAGTGGCAATTTGTATGTGAGAGAGCTCATTCGCATTTCGAGTGAAAACGTTTGTTGAAGAGATTCGAGCAACAACAATTATACACGAAGGGAATTCTCGAAATATGGAATGGCAAACTGGTCGGCTTAGGTGACATGTCCCACAACGAAATCACAATGCCGTGTAAGATTACATCGACTACTCAAATCATGAGGCCAACTCGTGAGAGTATATGCGACGACTGAACTGCCGGTCATTTCATCAGCTCAATCCGTCTGGGCCGACTAAGCGCTTATTCCAGAATGACTGGCGGTCTCGAAAACAACTCAAAGCGGCAACAACTACAGCGCAGAAGAAGAGGGGCATGGGAAACGATAGGGAAACTTGGAGCGTGTGAGTGAAGAGTGAAACTTGCCAATGCCTGAAGTATGTTCTGACAATTATGACCTTGAGCGTTTGACACGATCAGCTGATAGTTTGTTCTCGGGCTCGTCACTTTTACATCTTTGATGTGCTGCTTAGTAGTTTGCTTGTCTATTCCTTTATTTATTGGCACGGGTCGTGCTGTCTACTATTACGGTCATGGGAAGAAGCCTTTCGACGTCACCTT